CAGCTGAATCCCCAGCGGAATTTACCCAAGTGGGATGTTTAAAATTTTAAATGTCAATTAATGCAATCAGTAAGATCTGAGAAAAGCTAGTTGCTTATTCCAGGCATCAAGTAACTTTATTCTCAATGTGTTCTCTTTTTCGCATTAATAAAGAAAGCTTTTGTGCCCACCAAGGAGAAAGAACCCCCCTTCCTCCTGGCTGGTCAGACCAAGCCTGGATCCATGGACTTCTGAGGTCCGGCTAGGTATCAGCTGCACTCACACCCCTCGAAGGGCATTGCTATTCATGCTCTGGCATATTTCTGAGCTAGATAACAGGCCTAGATGAGGAGTCACTGAATTCAAACTGATGTGTCTGTGGACATAGGGGTTTCTGAGAGAATAAATGAGCATTTGTAGCCTGTAAAGTTAGCCACCACCATACCCAGTGCAGATCCATTTTTTTTTTTTTTAATTTTGGAAATTAGTGGCATATATGGGTGGTAAAGGGTGCCTGGGTGGCTCAATTGGTTAAAGCATCTGACTTCGGCTCAGGTCATGATCGCACAGTACATGAGTCATGAGTTCAAGCCCCGAGTCAGGCTCTCTGTGCTCAGCGCAGAGCCTGTTTCTTCAATTCATTAATAATTACTGCTCATGCCCCACTAATTTCACAGGATTTGCGGATTAATGTTTATTTATTTTGGGGGGGGGGCAAGGGGCAGAGAGAGAGGAGACACAGAATCCAAAGCAGGCTGTCCGCACAAAGCCTGATGCAGGGTTAGAACTCAGTAACTGTGAGATCATGACCAGAGCCAAAGATGGACACTCAACGGACTCAGCCGCCCAGGTGCCCCAGGATTTGCAAATTAAAAAAAGAACACTATTGTAGTCAATAGTTAGTTGCTAAAAACTCAAATGATGCAATAAATGTAAGAATGGAGGTCTTGCCACTTAGGACATTTGATAGACTTGTTATGGAAAGATAAAGTTTGCATATATATTGTATGAAGAGTCCTGGGGTGTGCAATGCATTTACATATTCCTCTTCAGTTCCTTTCTTCTTGTTTTGTAGCCTCCTCTCCCCGCCTTCCACAGAAAATCACACAGCCCTTTTAGGAGCCACTCGAAATACAAAAGTCCATGAGAGAGATATTTAGATAGATTGCATTCACTCTGTGTATCTTAAAGCTTTACATCTAGAGAAGCAAATTTTAGCCTAAAGCATGTTTTTCTGTTTATGAGCACATTCAGGTGACTGCAGAGATAATGGAATTGCTGATACACTGCTCATAGCTGTTTGGGTAACTGTTCTTTTATTATCAGGAAGGCAAATGCAATTTTTAAGATCAAAGTGGACATCTCTTGGAAGCTACATTTATTACAAAAGGCTAAAGTGTCCACATTCCTAGGAATCAAAGGGACTCAAAAGCCAGCAAGGCAGTAGTATTCAAGAGACAAAAGCAATTTTTGATGGACAGGAACCACCAAAGTAGGTGACAGGAGCAAGAGGTAATTTAATTCTAAAAGTTACCAATTCTGCACGATCTGGGGTTAAGCAAGGTGCCTGATGTGGTGACATCCACAGCCAGGGTCTGCCTGTCGATAATTTTGACTGCCACTGCAGGGACTGAGAAAGTACTTTCATACTTTTCACCATTGGAGATTCCCTTGATAGCATTTTGAACCAATTTCTGCCAAGAACAGGAGCCCCACTCAGCTATTGCAGTGGAAGTAAAGTAGGAAGCTATCATACCCAGTCACAATAGAGTATTTAGAAAACCATCATGGGTGAATTCTAGCCCTGAAAACATGGCAGCCTCAGATGGTAGCAATCGGACTGTGGCTATTCTCCTGTCACCTGACATCTAATGGCAGTTCCACTGTATTTAGGGTCCTTTTGTATCCTCCCCCAACCTCCAACCTCGCTTTGAATCCCCCCATAAGCCCCTTTGCCAAGGCTTTCAGATGGTTAACTTCAGGGATGTCTGACAAACATCTCTCCAGTTGGGCCCACTTCTAATGCTTACTGGAAACTCCTTCACTTGTATCACTAAAGACCTCTTCTAATAGTTTTTAATTTTTTTTAATGTTTATTTATTTTTGAGATGGGGGAGACAGAGCGCGAGTGGAGGAGGGGCAGAGAGAGAGGGAGACAGAATCTGAAACAGGCTCCAGGCTCTGAACTGTCAGCACAGAGCCCGATGCGGGGCTCCAACTCACGGACCGCGAGATCATGACCTGAGCCGAAGTTGGACGCTTAACCAACTGAACCACCCAGGCGCCCCTAATAGCTTTGAATATCCTTGAAATCTTGGCCAAAGCATTTGGAAGAGTAACGACAGGACTTCATTATTTCTTCTCAAAAACTCTCCAGCAATTTCAGAGTAGGAAAAGGCCAACAGAAATTCTGGATACTTGGGGCACCTGGGTGGCTCAGTTGGATAAGCGTCCGACTTCAGCTCAGGTCATGATCTCACGGTTTGTGAGTTCAAGCCCCGCATCGGGCTCTGTGCTGACAGCTCAAAGCCTGGAGCCTGCTTCACATTCTGTGTCTTCCTCCTTCTCTGTCCCTCCCCCACTCACACTCTGTCTCTCTCTCTCAATAAATAAACGTTAAAAAAATTAAAAGAAAAGAAATTGTGGATACTTAATAAGTGGGCTTCATATTACAAAAGAAATCATTTATCTCTCCCTTTTTATCAGGTTAACGTCTTCTGAAATCCCCTTAACTTTTCCCGAGAGTTTATCTTTCTAGAGACTAGAATTGGAAGAAGCATTTTCTTGATGTTTATCACATATTTATTGTAGTTGAAAGGGTAAGTGTTACAGAAGTGTTTTTTATATTTGGAAGCTTCTCTACTGCACACTTTTACTGCTCATATGATTAATGAAAAGACAATATTGATTTTAATGCATCTTTTTTCTATTTTTAAGAGAGAGCCCAGTGGGGTAGGGGCAGAGAGGAGGCGGGGGTGGGGGTGGGGGAGAGGATTTGAAGTGGGATCTGCACTTACAGTACCAAACCTCATGAACTCATGGGCTCAAACTCATGAACTGTGAGATCATGACCTGAGCTGAAATCGGATGCTCGACTGACTGAGCCACCCAGGCGCCCCTGATTTTAACGCATTTTAAACACAATCTTAGACAGTATGCAAAGCCTCAATCACAGACGTTTTTCTTGTCCTAAGAAAAGTATATAATAGTTTTAAACTTATAAAAATTTGAATGTGATCAAAAGGGTACGGTATGAGGAGTAAATAATAAATAATAGTATGCCTTGGGAAATCTCTGGGGTAACTTTTGGAAAAACTTCACCATTTACCATTAATGGTCCTGAGAGTTTGTCAAACTAAGCTATGTATATTTTTTTTCTTTTTCTTGACATGCACAATTTTCATATTCACACTGAGAAAAAGAACGATTTAACTTTGTAGAGACCAATTGGTTGTTAGCTATATTGGTTATATAATAATGGTTATGATAGACAATTCTTACCTCTATAGAACTTAAGTTAATAGCAGGGTTATCAAAGATTATTTACTCTGGATGTATCATTTTGATTGAATTCCCCAAGTTTAAGTTATGGGAGCACCTACTCAGAAGCACCACCTTCCCTCATAAGTCCCAACAGGGGTGTAAACAGAGGCTTAAATACTCTTTTGTATTTTATATCATTTTCCAATAAAAGTAAAGTAAAATAGTCAATTTAAATGATTCTTAGGGGACAAAGAATAGAGAGAGCTGAAAATAAGAAGAGAACATCTAGGAGAATATCTACAAGGCAAATACGCGTTGTCAGTGACCTCTGCGTTTTCCTGATCCTCACATCTGCACACTTTCTCTCACGCTTAGCAAAGTTTGACAAGGGGGTGATCCATGTAATCAGTGCAGCTTGTAATTTTCTACAACTTGCAGGTCTGACTTTTCTCCACGGTAGGGATATTGTTGCCACCTGTTTTCACCCATTTTATTAGAGATAATTGTCCTCATGGGTCCCCAGTTGACACGCCTGAAATGAGTCACCTGCCCTCTCTCCCTTGGCCCCTCCCTCAGCTGCTACTCACTCAAAAGGGTCGCTGGGATCTGCCCTCTGGAGCTCTGGAGGAATGGGGATTCTTTTGTAGTACATTTCCCAGTCGAAGGCGCCTCGCATGGCATCCCCAGCTTGTGCCTCATACCCAAAGTGATTGTGGTCAATGACATCGATCATGGGGCACACGATGGTTTTGTGGTTTAGTGCAATTTGGTCTGAAAAATGAAAGCACAAAATAGGAAATGACATGCCTGCCTAGGTCATCTATCATTTTTCAGCAAAGAGAAGCCTTACCGATCTTTCCTAATGCAGGGATGATGCTTGAAGCCTGGTTTCTGTCATTGTTAGAGCACTCTGTGAAATCTGTTTGAAGGCTAGACTTAACGTGATGGGACAGTGATTAGGTAAAATTAGTGTTGTTGTATTTTCCTTTAAGAAAGTTGTGTCCCAGAGAGACTTGCAGAAGTCCATTTAGCCCTACCTCTGTCACATTTTTGCTCTGACCTGTCCCCAATCTGTCATTTTATAGTGCATCCAACATATGTAGAGTATAAACAGTACTTGTGTTCCTTCAAGCATACAGCTGAGCCTGCTGAGAAAATATTGTCCTTCTTTCTGGAGGCTTCAAAATGTAAATATTTAACTTCATGTTTTTTCTTGTTTGTTTTTTCATTTTTAGCATCTCGTCTTATAATGGCCACCACGGCTGCTCCCCCTGCCCCCCTTAAATGCTGACAAATCATACACAGAATTCTTCGCTCTCAGGCTTGCCAGAGATTTTGCCAAGTTCTATTTTGCTATTGTCCTTTGATACGGACTCTGTTTATCTAAGCTATACATGTTTATCTTTTCTCATTATATCCAAAAATATATTAGCTGGCCTGATAACTACTGTTTCTGTTCCTGCTACTATTAAATTCTTGAGCAACTACTAAGTGATTTATACTCTCGCTATTTCTAATCCTCCTGACAACCCTGTAAGGTGGCTGCCATTATCATTCTCGATTGACATGTGAGGATACGAGCTCAGAGAAGTTAAATAACTTGTCAAAGGTCACCCATCTTTTGAGAGCAAAACCCAGGATGCAACCCCTGCTTGCCAGTCCAGTCCTAAAACCTGTGGTCTGCCGCACTTCTCCATGGTGCTTCTTATGTAGCAGAAAGGTACTATCTTTTTAGTTCCAGCTCCCTCCTTTTCCATATAGATATTGTTATTGTGAGACACTAACAGCATAGGGAATTGGCATTTACATACTTTGGCTCACCTAGAATAGCTAACTGTGGGGTACAGTTGACTACTGAAGGACACAGCTTTGAGTAGTGTGACTCCACTTATAAACAGATATTTTTCAACACAGTACAGTGCTGTAAATGTACTTTCTTCTCCTTATGATTTTCTTATTGACATTTTATTCCCTAGCTTACTTTATTGTAAGAGTACTGTCTATAATACATATAACACATAAACTATGTGTCAGTTGACTGTTTATGGTATTGGTAAGGCTTCTGGTCAACAGTTAGCTACTGGTCGTTAAATTTTTGGGGAGTCAAAAGTTACACATGAATTTTCAACTGCACAGGGTGTTGGCATCACTAACCCCTGTGTTGTTTGAGGGCCAACTGTATTTTCTTCTCAAGAATATGCACTCAATCAATATTTATTATAACAAACAAAATGTCCGACAGAACTTTTAAGTATGAACATCTGCTTTCTGGTTATGTGATGTGGCATGTGGAATAAAATACATTTAAATATCTTAAAAAACATATCTTTTAGAAATAATGGTTATTTCAGTATTATTATTTTGAGGACCCTAATAGGCAGGGTGGGACAACCACAGAATCTGGGGGAAGATCTCCCCTCCAGATCTACATCCTTCCTTCCTTCTTCCTTCCTTCCTTCCTTCCTTCCTTCCTTCCTTCCTTCCTTCCTTCCTTCCTTCCTCCACACCCCCCCCCCTTCCTATTCAACAACTATTTATTGAGTAGAAACCATTTACATGTCACTTTTCTAGGTTCTGGGAATATAACAGTGAATAACAACCACAAAAATCTCTGTCGTTAGGAATGGAGCAAAGGCAATCAATATACATACTAAATATCTAAATTAGATAGTATGTTTGAAGGTGATAAATGTGGTAGAAAGAAGATAAAACAGGCTAGGGGAATATGGAATGCTGGTATGTGGCAAGGTAAATAGCATGGCCCTAGGAGGCTCTCAGGAGCCTGGAGGTCAACTTAACATTATTCCTGCTAATTAGTAGAGAGACCCCCAGCACTATTTCAAGTTATTCTTCACCAAGCGCCCTGTAAGCATCCATCTTCACCTAGGTAAGTCTTGTAATGGGTTTTAATCTTTATCTAAATGGTGTTTCCCCATAGATGTCTTTGACAGAGGAGACCAACGTTGCTGTGTCCAACCTATTTCTTCTATCACCTCTGCAGGTATTTTAGTATTAAGGTCTCAGTGATTTTCTTCAATCAAATTCAGAATCAGGTTGATTTACAAGTTTCTTGACCAACAAGGAGTCCCAAGGTGACCCAAAGAGAATGAGTCTGTTAAATTAACTGTCAACTTTCCCTTCAAATTTCCTTTCAGCTCTTATCCAGCTGTTCTAGCTTAGGGTGAAAGCAGCATGACTAATTTTTCATCTAAGGCTTGTGCCTACATTTCAATTTCCAGGGATCAAACAAACAGACTCTTAATGGGAAATTGAAATTCAGGTATAATCCCAAAGTGAAAAATGAACCAAGAAACTGTGTGGCTCCGCCTGTTTTTTTCATTTTGGATGATGTGTCAAGACACTGATAGAGGAAAATAAAAAAAGATAGTGATCCTGAGCTTGAATCATTTCTTATCCATCAGGCCTACAGGAAATGAAATGCTTTAATGAGAAAAAGTGGGGTTCTCTCTACTTTCTCTCTCCTTTTTTTTTTCCTGTTAGATCCATATGAACAATCAGAGGCTTGATAATTGGCATTTAGGAATTGCTTTGGTTCATAAATAAATTAGGTCTTTTGCTGACTTCCTTGAGTATTCAGCACCATATAGGTCAAATTCAGTTTGCAGGAATCTCACTGCTGCTGATGAAACTCTAAATTGCTATGTCCTTGGACAAGGTACTTTTAATTAAAAGCTCAGAGGAGTCTCTGGCCATAGGAGCACTGAAACATTCCTGTTGATCACGATGGGTGGGCAGTCATCTGTGTAGGTGTGTGTGGATCGGGTGATGTGGTGGGGTGTTAGTTGCTGGTCATTTCCTGTTTTAAATCCTACACACTTTCAATTGATTCCCCTCCCCCCTTCCACATTTTTTACTAATGGAGCTTTGCTGCTTCTAGCTGAAATCCTACACAGTAGTCAATAGCAAATCATTCTTTCTGAGGCAGCTATTGTAAAGCAGTTTTTACTGGCTTTAACTCCAAGGCCAGGGATATATTTACAATAAAAGTTGATTTAGTGAAAAATCTGGAAGAATAGGAAGGACCACAGTAGGTGCACACAAAGAACTTTTTAGAAACTCATTTTTTTTTTTCAGGTTGGCAATTTATCCCTTATCTACTACTGGACTTTATATCTGACTTCGTTGTGAAATAAAAAACAAAATAGTCGGGCTCGAACTGAGCCCCATTCATAGCTTGAATGACTCTTAGTTCGTTCATGTTTCTAATAGTTCCAGTGCAATGTGACAGAGAGGCTTCTCTCCCTACTCTGAGCCATGTGGTGAGCATTTGAGATGTATCATCTGGATAGTAGTTCTGAGTGTTTGAGAAGGTCCTGTGTAAACTTGGGGGATTATATATTTAGGGCTCTAGGCCAGTGCCAGAAGTTTAAATGAGAACTGGCATTATAAATCCTAGAAAATGTCAGGGCACTTACACTTGAACTGTATTCTCGGGCGGAATAATTTTCTTTCCTCAGTTCTTAACAGTTCTATAATAATTGTTAAACTGTGTGTGTGTGTATGTGTGTGTGTTTATTTTAATCTTGCTGTAGTTGGAGGTAGTGTTTTTGAATACTTTTTCTTTCAGTGTTTACTCTGTGACTATAACTACACTAAAGCAGAACATCTAAACTAAACAAACCTCTAAACTTTTTTGAACCTTAAGTGAGATTGCTGTTGGTGTTATCTAAAATGTCCATTTTCATGCAGTTTTCTGGTTACTTCTTGGTCCTCAGCAGTGGTTAAAGTAGAATTCAAGGCTCTCACTGTAAAATATTGTAGAAGGGAACTCTAGACTTTGTTAATTGCAAACTAAATAGAAGCAAATCACACACTCCCTCTGAAGGAGGTCATTTCCCCAGGCCTTGCTGGTCCCCAGAAGGCCACTGTCAGTATGTGTACTCACTAAGGAGAGGGGGCAGCCAGTTCACATTGACCTCGCAGTGGGAGTCCAGGAACGTTAAGACTTCTCCTCTTGCCATAGATGCCCCCAAGAGTCGGGTCCGGATGAGCCCTTCCCTTTTCTTGGTGCGAACGATCCTTACTTTGGAGAATCGGGCCATATATTCTTCTAATTTATCCTTCAAGTGTTCTAGAAAGGAAGCAGAGGATGCAAAGAAAGAACACAAAACATTAAGTGCAACAGAATTACTCATGGGTGTTTATGCATTAAGTGTATGTGAATGGTGAATCCAAGCTTACATCCATTTTTCTTCTCTCTTCATCTCTAGGGGAGATATTAATAAGATTTTATGCCTAGAGGTTTTTCTACTTTATATTTTCCATAAAGGTTCATAAACTGCAAATACTGCTCTTTTTTTTTTTTTAATTTTTTTTTTCAACGTTTATTTATTTTTGGGACAGAGAGAGACAGAGCATGAACGGGGGAGGGGCAGAGAGAGAGGGAGACACAGAATCGGAAACAGGCCCCAGGCTCTGAGCCATCAGCCCAGAGCCCGACGCGGGGCTCGAACTCACGGACCGCGAGATCGTGACCTGGTTGAAGTCGGACGCTTAACCGACTGCGCCACCCAGGCGCCCCAGCAAATACTGCTCTTTGTTTGAACACTGTAGAAGACACTGACGCACCAGAGCTGTACCATATGATTACTGTTGGCCAGCTGCCACCATGCTTAATCACGGCCAGCACTGTCCAAGATGCGCATTGGCCCTCTGGTTCCTGCTGTGTAAAGTCAGATGAGGATTCCAGCATATGGGCTCTTTTCAACAAGAGGGCTCTTTCCAGCAAAGCCACGCCTAGTTTCTGTGTTTTGAAAATAATGAATGTAAAACCACAAGAAAAAAATTATATCCTTCAAATCAATAAGAACCAAACAGATTTTTTCCTCCCACTGGGTAATAGCCAACTAGTTAGGAAGTTCAGCATCTGGCTTCTGATTTGAAGTATAAAACTGATTGACTTGCTGTTAAAATTAGATGTGAAGAGGGGAAGGCAGATAGATACTCCATAATCATTTTGAACTGAGCTATTGAAGGTTAGAAAACAAAAAATTTTTAAATGTGTCTTTGCCTAATTAAAAACAAACTCTGGGAACAAAATCGAATCAGGTAGCTTATTTACAGAGAAAAAACCCCATCTCTTACTGTCTGTGATAAAATGCATCAATATCTTCGATCTTTAATGCCAAATAAGTGTGTTTGGTATTTTTCTGTGGAATATGTACTCATATAATTTATATCTTGTGCTTTTCACTCTCTCATATCTACAACATTAGGAGGGCTTCACTGGAGTTTCTAACAGGTACCGTCTAATGTTCATAGACACAATCTTAGTATGCAGTGTGTTCTATAGTTCCACTTTCTTTTTCTTTTTAATTTTTTTTAACGTTTATTTATTTTTGAGACAGAGAGAGACAAAGCATGAACGGGGGAGGGGCAGAGAGAGAGGGAGACACAGAATCTGAAACAGGCTCCGGGGTCTGAGCCATCAGCCCAGAGCCCCACGCGGGGCTCGAACTCACGGACCGTGAGATCGTGACCTGAGCCGAAGTCGGACGCTTAACCGACTGAGCCACCCAGGCGCCCCTATAGTTCCACTTTCAAACTTTCTCTGCGTGTGTGCAATCAAAGGCAATATTATTAAGTCTCCTCCTATGATCTGTAGCAATAGGAATTCATATAAGGATTTATGATTCCCTTCCCTGTGATTCAATTTAACAGATGTCAGAATTACTCATATTGGAGTTTCTCCATACCTAAGAGTTTATTCTTATTTCTTCTTCTTAATGTAGCATTTAAAAAAAAAATCTCAATTTCTTTTTTTTCAACTGCCCCATAACTATGTTTTACAAACGGATCAAGTAAAAAAATACTTAGCTTTCTAATTTTTCTTATTCAAGAATACTGGTGGGGTCTTTCCCAAGATTGTTTTAGCACAAAATGGGTTCCCCCTCTATTTTGTTCTTCCTGTAATGAACAGACTGCAGAAAGCAAACATTACAGATTTGGAGTCAGAATGGACCTAAGTGGGAGGTCCGTACCGGTGAAACATATGAACAGGTCATGTAAATTCTCTTAGTGTAAATTTCTTCACCCATAAAATACATGGAATTGGGGGATTTTTTCCTCTTAGAGTGTGGTGAAGGGTCAGGCTTTTGGTTAGACACCGAAAGGTGCTCATTCAACAAACATCCCCTAAGTCAGTAATGGGAGACCTCATAAGTCCCATGCACTTAAGAAGAGAAACAGCATTTTTAGCTGGGGAAATGCCTTTGAATGCTAAGCCTGAAAAATGAAAAATAGAGAATTTTTATTTATTGGTGAGATTTTGATAATTCATCATCTTTTATTTATTGAAAATTTATTTATTTTTTAAAATGTTTTTATTTATTTTTGTGACAGAGAGAGACAGAGCATGAGCAGGGGAGGGTCAGAGAGAGAGGGAGGCACAGAATCCGAAGCAGGCTCCGGGCTCTGAGCTGTCAGCACAGAGCCCAACGCAGGGCTCGAACTCACAGACTGTGAGATCGTGACCTGAGCCAAAGTCGGATGCCCAACCAGTTGAGCCACCCAGGTGCCCTTATTTATTGAAAATTTAAAGAATGAGCTGTTTTGACCAGCAATAAGTGAACACATATAACTTCATAGCAGTATCGCAGTTTCTCAACCGAAAGGCTGGCTCTAAAGTGTCTCTGTCTCTTTAAGATGGGTGTGCTATGCAAAAGCCATAGCTTCTGCCCTTCCTCTCTTTACTGACTCCTCTCCTGCTCTCCTCTGTGCAAGCTGCAAAGAAAGATTCCAATGGACTATACAATACGACACTGCCTGTGAACAAGACTGGAGCTTACTATTACTATTTTCCTGTTAGGAAAACAAAGTAGAGACCGGCCACCCAGTCATGCAATCAAAGGCAATGAGTAAGTGGAAAGTGATCAATACTAGAGCTCTGTACATGCCAGTCTTGAAAGACTTGCATTCGGTCAGGGTTTCCCCTGTAATAAACATTTAAGAAGACGCCATATTCAGGGAACCTGGGTGGCTCA